GGACAAAGCCACTGAAACAACTGCAGTAGTCAGCATGGCAACAGGAACAGAAATTCCTGCTGCAACTAATCCAGCAGCACGTTTCTGTCTACTTAAAGCTTTCTTAATTTCTTCATTGATTTATACTGCTACATTGCAAAAGAAGGTAATTTTAACACCAGTACACAGGTATGAACATCCACTTGAGAAATACAGTTAGTCAAAATACAATCAGGGCATGATACATTAACACAATACCATTCATAAAGATTTTTATCTCTCCCACCAAAAGAACATAAGGCATTTTGACACAAGCCGAAACAGTTTTAGGGGGCAAACAGGTTTCGAAGAACTGGATTGTCCTGCCACTGTTCCCATTGCAGCAGCAAGTTTCTAAAATCTGTGGAAATTTTGTACTGGAATACCAAATTTCAGCTGGCAGTTGTTGGTCCCAAGATTCTGCTGTAGTCAAATGATCATCTTGATTTCCAGACCAGTCAAGAATGTACTGTGATGTCATTGTGATGTTGTACTTGAATGGAATAATGCCAATACTTCATCTCCACTACAAAGTTCTACTAGGCCCTCTCAGTTCCTTCGTGCATGGAGGAAATCTTTGAAGGGGTGAAGTATCATTTACCCAGTTACCTTGAGGAAGCAATCACTTTGTAAAATAAGTACATTGTTTATTATGTCCCGTAATTAATTTTGAAAATGCTCCAAGACATACTTCCAAAGCAATATTCTTTGCAAAACATACAGGAATTCCTTTACCATACCCAACACAAGAAAATTTTGAGCAATTGGGAACTCTTGTGTGGCAGGTCGATCTAGATGTGTATTGTTGACTGTGACTACAATCTCCTTTTACTCCTAAACAGCAGGATGTAAAATGGGTGGATCAGGAACATAGGCTTAACTGGTCTCATTCTGGCTTTTCTGGATTATCATCAGCAACATCAGGATCAGCATCTTTCTGTTCCACACACTGTATCAATTGAGCTTCAATTTCATCCTATGAAAAAACACAAACATGCCTTCTCCCCCTACCAAAAACAGTGTCGGGACTCCTTTATAAACCAGTAAATGGATCTTTCCATTAGACCTGAGCAAGTTATGTGGTGGTGCTTTCATGCTAAAATCTATTCACAGGAGATTGCTCATAGACATCCCATTTAAAATTTTTAAAATAAAACACATGTATGATGACTGTGGGTATAACCCCAACTGCCCCTTTTATTATATTTTTAATTGAGTCTTAAGACTCACATGTGCTCTTTCAAAATTCCTTGCCCCTGCATAGTACATCTTCTCAAATCCTTGAGATGAGTTTGTTCCGGAGGCTGATATTAGGATTTTAGCATTGTTAGTTTAATGGCACCTAGATAGAATTATCATTTATTCAAGGCATCAATGACCAAATTCCCTGTGATGACTGACAGAGATATTCCCTTTTTATCTAACATTCCAAGCAGGGGAACAGGGACAACATATTCATTTCTGTAATTACTTCCTGCTGACCTTAGGACGTTTTTCTCAAGGCCCTGGAAGGCTAAAATGTTAGTCAGAGGCAATGAGGGAACGTAGAAGAATCTGGTTCATTGACAAGCTGAAAAGACAGCATTTACATTGTATGGACTGGTCCACATCAGGATTCAGCAAGTTCAGGACTCATTGTCATTGGAGCAGGTTGTTTGGATGTGTTTGTCAGCCAAGTGGAAACCTGATGAAACAGATACAAACTGGGAACAGAAGTTTATGAACGCATTTGAAATTTGTATACTCATAGTCTCAATAATTAAGGAAGGGGGAGAGTCCCAAAACCAGAACAAAACGTGCCAGTGGTCCTTGAGTCCCAACATTAAGATGCTGTGTAGTGCCTATAAGGACAGGTTCTTTGAAAAAGTAGGGGAGACAGTGTGTCCATCCATCCTTCATGGAGAGAGAACCCACAGCAGATGAACTAACTAATTAGTGAGTAGATTCAAGAATGGCTTGCTCTAACCAATCTTCAGTCACATTAGGAACTGTTCTCATATTCTGAAATCGTTACCTCCATGGCTTTGTGAATTAGGCTGCTTTGGATAGCCCAGAGCCCATGTTTAAATTAGACCCCTCCCCCAGAGATACTCATTTCTCTTCTTCTGCTAAATGTAGCTGCTTTAAAATATCTTCTCAGGCTGTCAAGACTTTATGGGATGAGGTCATGTTCAGATCAATGCCGCTGCAGTGCTTTTTGATTAATGTAAGGTAATGGGCAGATTTCTCCTTAGCTCTGTGGTGGAGCAGGATAAAATTATCTGACATGCATACGTAATGCATGAGTTCTTGGGGGAGGGGAAAAAGAGGGTAGAAGGTGGGGGTTACTCAGAGTAGATCAGAGAACAGGCCCTGTATTGCAGAATGTTGCAGATAATAGAGGGGCAAAGGATACTGGGATGATGAGCACAAGAGTATACTGGGGACCTGCGAGAAAAAGGCTGGGGAGATGCAGCTTGACCAAAGCATCAGATGCTTGCTGGGAAAATGTAGACCAGATGAGTGTGTATACAAGAGGGGTGCTGTAAAAGGATACGTTTTGGAAAGGGGAATATCTGGACCTGGCTGTGCATCTCCCCTCATAGACATACCTAAATGGTGTCTGGCAGCTCATGACTGAGCAGAACATTACTTTTGACCCAGAACACCTTGTGCTGAGTCAGTCCTGTCAGCCTGGCTCTGGGACAGGGGGTGAGTGTGAATCTGGCCCTTGGCCATTCCTGCTGGTATCCAGGGCTTGGGGACATACATACTGAGGGTGGAATTCCTTTTAGTTTTTCTGAAGCAGTCTTGATTTGCAAAGGTGCTGGTGAGGTCTAAAAGCCTGTGCCTTTGCCCACCTTCTTGTCTTAAAAACAGGGCTAATTTGTGATTATCTGGAAAATGAACAAAAAGCCCAGAGGGTGGAAAGCTATTTCTGCTTAGAACAGGCATGGTACCTGTCCTCTTTAGCTGAGTTGCATCAGGTTTGCTTTATTTGTCAGAGGTTGGATGTGTATACTATGGGAAGCATTTGCTTTTCTGTGTGAATCTACATCTGCCCAGCCTTGAATGTTATTGCTGCAGACCCTAAGGCTGAGGGGAACTGCCAGGTTCAGGCACATTTCTTAATTTACCTGTTTCAGTGAGAGCATCCCTGTTCTGCAAAGAGGACTGCCAGAGCAGACATGGAGTGCTGGTGCAGACGTGCTCCATGAGGAAGATCTTAATGCCCCGGAGCTAGGAGGCAGCCAGCACCTGGGAATCAGGATGGGAATTGGGCTTGGCTATTGACAGGCTATTTGTCTTAATAATGGCAAGAAGGTTGCAGGCAGGGCCCTTAACCACCAAGGCCTTCATTAGTGTTGAGTTACTCCAGAAATGGTGGCACAGTTCCCTGGGAACTATTGCAGCTGGGCCTCTATCGCCCTCTCCAGAACAGTGACTTCCCTGATGGGTCTGCTGCATGCAGACAGTATGATGTGAGCTGATAATGTTCTGTGGTACCAGGGAAGAAACTCAGCAAAGTGTCTGAGTGCCTCACCCTTCCAGTCAGTCAAGCGAGTCCTGTTAAAGGACACCTGTTCCCACTGCTTGAGCTGTCTGCAGAGAAAGACTACAGGTCTGTGTGTGTTCACTGTGGTTGGGCCACAGGCCCTGGTAATGAGGGTGACTTAGAGCCTTACATGCACCTGGGGGCAGAGTTTCCAAAGAACGGAACTAGTGTCTAGTTTCTAGCCTGTAAAGAGCTGTGAAATTGCTGGTGCCTCTCAGCAAGGCACAGAAAACAGCTGAATCACCCTGGGGCAAAGATTACAGTTCAGAGCCATGAGCAGGGTGGTGCCCTTACCACACAGAATTGAAGTATTGGCAGGCAGGATGCCTGGGATCTATTAGCCATCTGCAGAAAACCTACAGTTGACTCCATCAACCAATTCCAGACCTGACAGTGTACCCTTTTCTATGTGTATGGCTCTTCAAGTTGCTTGGGGACCAGCTTCAAGTCCTGCATACCATCTATAATGATGGTATGATATCAGTAGCTCAGGAGAAAAATAGCATCATTGACTTAGCCTGTGCAGCTCTTTCCCCCATGGATTCTGTTTCATCACCATCCTGCCCATATGGTAAGAAAGTTAGCCATCTCAACACAATTCAGTCCCACTTGCACATGCCTTGTCTTATAGACTTTCATAAGCAGATCTCCTCTTTGGAACCAATTAGGGCATCCCAGAGGAGGGACATAAGGGGACCTAGACAGTCATGACTACCACAGGGCTGAAAGTCCTTGTCCTAATGTCAGAGTACATTCATATGTTCAGGACCCAGCAAACCTCCCCAGGTGGTTTGTTCTAGGATAATAGCTGCAGTAGCAAGATCACAGTGAATTCCTGAGTGCAGAGTTAGGTTCAAGCACTGATACCCTAAGGCAATACAAATAGGACAGTTCCTTAAATCATACTTGAATGGATTTCAAATAAACCTTATGTAACACCCAGGGATTGGGGCAAGCTGGTCACTGAGGGGCCCAGTGTAGATTATAAAAGCAAGTATCTGACTGCCTGTGTAGATATGTTATTCTCTCAGAGCTACATGAGATGTCTTAAAGTTTAGGCTATTAAAGTACATAGTTTCTCTGGACATACATGCCTGTGAGTTACAGACCTGAGGAGGAAGCCCCTGCCAACATGGACCTTGGTACTTGTAGGTGACCATTGGTGTTTACCATGGCCTCCTGGGTGCAGGCACTGAACTGGATCTAAGTTGAGGCAGGGATAAGCCTACAGGATGTTCAAGGATAAACCCACTCTGACAGTTCCCTAGGACAGTGGCCAGGGATATGAGACACGTAGCCCCATCTGAGTCGGGCTTGGAAAACAGCAGAGCTTAGGCTGAGACCTTGGGGGTCCTGGGAAGGCAGATAGAGGAGGGTGCAGCAGGCTGTTCTGCAATTGGAGGGCACTGATAAGCTCTGAAGGGAGCTGCACTACTGGCAATGCACTGGGTCTCCAGAGAGAGCCAGAGAAAGTGGCAGCAGCAGACTCAGACTGGGCAGTGTAGTGGGACCCTAAAACACCCCACCTCCCCAGCTACTGTGTGGAGTGCAAGGGATGAGGAGGGGGACAAAGGCAATTCACCTCTGTAGACCAAGTGAGAGGAAGATGGAACAGGCCAGTCAGGGAATAGGGATGTCTGGCTCCAAGTTTTCTGTGGGGCATTATTTCTTCCTAGTTAAGGACTCTTTTGGGGATGCTTTGGGCCAGTCACACAAGACAAGACATTAGAAAGGTGAGACTTGAATTTGAGTAAACCCTGCTCTATACCTACTGACTCTTCAGTCTACCTTCCGAACCTCTTCCTCTCCAGGAATGGAAGCAGCCTGGAGTTGCGTACTGGGTGCCATTCGTGCCCTCTGCTGGTTCTCATAGAGACCCGGCAGGTGGCAGATGCTCTGAGAGAAGTGGCTTAAGGACCTGCACCTCAGCAATCAGAAGAGGGCCCTGGGTCCCAGGACCTCACCTGCTCCCCACATCTTTCCATGACATGTACCTAGAGCCCCACCTTCTCTCAGCTCTCATGCTGGGGACAGTGACTAGAGTTTTGTGTTTTCTACAGGTCACCTGGATGTCAGCATGGCAGCCACAAACCTGGAGAACCAGCTGCATAGTGCACAGAAGAACCTTCTCTTCCTCCAGCGGGAGCATGCCAGCACACTCAAGGGGCTGCATGCTGAGATCCGGCGGCTGCAACAGCACTGCACAGGTAAGGACAGGCTGATGGCTATAGAAGCAGAGCCCCATGCTCATATGTCCACGCATGTCATCCTTTGTTGCCCACACCCCTGCAAGTCTTACCACCGCACAACATCGTTGAAGCACTAAGCACTCAGCTGCTAGCCTTGTCCTAGAACAGCAGGTGCCTACAGCACTTGGCCACAGTACAGCACACGGGGCAGCTGCTCACTCACTTTGTGCTGTTGGAGTGTATTCAGGGGAGATGAGGAAGGGAACTCTTGAGAGACAATTCCTTCTGCAGCCCTGATAGTGTTTCTTACATTGATCCTTGGAGCTACCAGCCCTGCTTCTACAGGGCAGAACTCACTCACTGGGATCTGATGCTATTTTCAGAACGGATGTGAAATACACCATGATAATCTGTGTGTCATGTTTCCTTTCTAGATCTAACATATGAGTTGACCCTCAAAAGTTTTGAACTGACAGGTAAGAGCTCCTCCCACATGTGGGTGCATCTTGTTTTCTTTGCAATGTATTCCCACTGATCATATGCATAGGGTCCCTTTACAGTGAGAGTGGTTTCCCTGAGCAGAGACACGTTTAGAGCCCTGTGATACCTGTGGGCTGGAGTGATGAGTGGCTGTTTTTGCTTCCCATAGATACATACATCTATTATATACTTTTCAGAATTTTCTTTTCTTTTTTTTAAACCATGAATGTATATCCTTCTGTCATCCAGAAATAAACTTCAATGTGACTTGCCAGAAAGGAAGAAAAGTGAGAACTAAGCAGGAGGCTCTCCTCCCCCCAGTCTCCAGAGCTTAACCAAGACCTGGTTCAAAGCCAGAGTGATCCATAATAGTGGGGTGGTGGCAGTGGGCTTTAGTTCATGGTCCAGAGGTTGGGACCATCTTTCTCTGGACTGCAGTCTAGATCTGCTTCCCTAGTGAGAATTGTCAGTGCCCCCCAAGGGTATAGCAAACCAGTGGTGGCTAGAGAATTGACAGAGACGGGGTCTTCTAGGAGCTCTAAGCCTGTGAGAATGACTTGTTCCTTAGCACAGGGCCGGGACTGAAGAGCATCAAACGTGTTCCTGAGGGAGACCTTTTCCCTAAGCTCTGAGTATTTGTTACTCTGTCCCATCTCCTTCCTAAGCACTCCTCTCATGGTTTTGTCTGAGTGGGTGCAGAAGGCCCTATCAGATTTCACAGGCCTTGGAGCAGGAGCCTTCATCAAAATCTCCATAAAGCAAAGACACCCAAGTCCTCTGCCGAGAGCTCAGGCAGCAACTCAGGACAGAGTTGCAATTTGTTGTGGTTGGTCTATCCCACACCCCACCATGACAGGCTTGAGAAGGAACTGTCCATGCTGTGGGAGCCAGGTGTCTTCACACCTCCCCCTTTTGTCCCATTAGTCTGCAACAGCTCTCAAGCCTCTGTCTCAAGCCTCTTCACCCCGCCCCCCCTTTAGGACACCCTCAGCAGCATTATGGCTTTTGTCAAAGGTGTATGACTCTACTTCAGCGGAGGGGGCAATTTGAAAAGCCTCTGGGAGGCTGGGTTTTGTGGGGGCATGCCCCATCCTCTGGGGTGAAACTAGTGTTCAGTTCACATCAAACACAAGTTCAGAAGGCGGGTCAGAAAGAATCCTGATTCTCTCCCCTGAAGGCCATGATGCCTAGGGTCTACACACCTGTGTGCCCAGTGACACAAGCAGACTTAGGCAGTACAGCTCAGTGGGGAAGAGCAGGTGGTGTACACCTGACTGTGGGCTAGACAAGGAAAGTCTGAAGTCTCTAGAGAGGGTGTGTAGAGAACCAGGGGTCCCAGTGCTTTCCAGAAGCACCTGCCAGATCTGGGCAAGACTGCACCTGAGAGCAGATATTTGGGTAGCTAGGTCATTTATAGGGAAGGACAGTGTTTGCCTAGGCCTCTTAGGGATAAGAGGCCAAAACCTGCACCTTACTGAGGAGCCCTGGATTTCTTGTTGTGCTGGGACTAGGGCTGTGTACCTCTGACAATGTCTGAAATCACCCTGTACCTGTGGCTGTCAAGGACTGTGTTCTTCATCAGCACCAGAGAGTCTGCTCTAATGTCCCAGGTCTCTCAGGTCTCTTAGCATTCCCTGAGGACACAGATTCCAGAAGTTTTGTCTGGCTGGGATGCAGTCAAAGGCCTGAGGATAAAGACCTACCATGCTTGTAGGTAGGGCTGAGAAGGGAGGGCCCACCTGCAGGTGTTTGGAGGAAGAGCAATGAATGTCAAGCCTGATTGCTGTGCTGGGGATCTCACTGCACTTGAGAATCTAGTGCTGTAGGGGTTTTTGCATTGTTTTGGTTATGTCTAAAAACATAAGACTCATAGGTAATATGGCATTATTTCTAAAGCTACCATTTACTGACTTAGTTTGTCTCTCTCTATACACACACACACACACACACACACACACACACACACACACACACACATCTGTATTCACCTGCAGTGAGTTTGCAGTGTACACTCGCCCACAGAAAGAACTTGTAGTAATTCAGAGTCTACCTGAAACTACTGACATAGGGAGAACAGTATCCTCCCAACACCCAAAGGCACCGCAGGGCTCTCTGCACATTTTGGTTGTACAGATCTGGAGTTGAATCAGCTGTAGTGATCATAACACAGAAGAAACAAGGAGATAGGCAGCTCAGAGTTCATATGGGTGCAGAAGGCATGGAACAGATGGACTGTCGGACTGGCAGCTTGTTAGGTTGTGAGGAGTCATTGTTAGTCAGGGGAGAAAGAAGGGAACAGAGTGGATTGAACGAGGCCTGGGAGGTGTTGATACCAGTGGGAAGTAGGGCCAGATGGACAGGAGAAGAGAGCAGGCTGCTGGCTAGCAGAAAGGGAGCAGAGAGCAGGTGCTAGATTGGGGCAACTGGGAGATTAAAGGTGGCTGAAGAGCAGGGTCTAGGCCTGAGGGACATGTCTGACACCCTTCACTTGTAGAGCTGGCACTCCAGAGACGCTGACTCCAGCTGACGCTCAAGCTGTTTTAACTTCAGCACCTTCAGATTCTGGAGACGTTCTTTTACGCAGTAAGCCAGGGAACCAAGAGCTGGGAGGGGCCTCAGAGACCGCCTGATTCGCCTTTAGTGGGAACAGGGCCTGCAGGCTGTCCTGCACCCTACCTACCATAGGGCTCCTTGCCAGGGCCCTCTACACAGGCCATGAGCATCTGCCTCCTTTACTAGGCTCTGACCTGGCACCTCACTTTTTCCTGCAGGAGATGGCTCTTCCAGAACGACGGAGCTGAAGAGGCGCTGTGAAGAGCTGGAGGCCCAGCTGAAGGCCAAGGAGGAAGAAAACCGCAAGTTATTGCAAGAACTGGAGCAGAAGAACGCTGCCATCGCTGTGCTGGAGAACACGGTGCGTGAGAGAGAGAAGAAGTACCTGGAGGAGCTGAAGGTGAAGAGCCACAAGCTGAGCATGCTGTCAGGGGAGTTAGAGCAGCGCGCCAGCACCGTGGCCTACCTCACCTCTCAGCTACATGCAGCCAAGAAGAAACTACTAAGCTCCAGCGGCACCTCTGACGCCAGCCCAGCTGGCAGCCCTGCACTGGCCAGCTACAAGCCCACACCACCCAAGGACAAGCTGCCTGAGACACCCCGTCGCCGCATGAAGAAGAGCCTGTCGGCCCCACTGCACCCTGAGTTTGAGGAAGTCTACAGGTTCGGAGCTGAGAGCCGCAAACTCCTTCTGCGGGAGCCGGTGGATGCAATGCCAGATCCCACCCCGTTCCTGCTGGCCCGGGAGTCTGCTGAGGTCCAGCTCAAAGAGCGGCCTCTTGTCATACCTCCCATCGCCTCAGACCGTGGCGCCAGTGGGCAACATAGCCCAGCCCGAGACAAGTCACACAAGACCCACGTTGGGGTGGCTCATCGCATCCATCATGCCAGTCCACCACAGCCCCAGTCTGAGGGAGAGACGAGGGCTGTGGACCAAGTGAACACAGGGAAGGTAGTTCGGAAGCACTCAGGGACGGACCGAACTGTGTGAAGCCTGCGGCTACCACCGCAGCCATCCATGCACTGTGAGCGCCACAGGGAACCTCGCCCACACCTTCCTCACCCCACTCATGCCAAATGTTTCCTACCGTCGCAGCCTGGCTCCTGGCCCCATAGTGATACAATGGTGTCTCCACTGAAGATATTTACTGGCACTGTGGCCAATGCCTGCATGCCTATAGCTTGCTTCTAGCCCCACGCCATGAGATCTCGGCACACTCCTTAACAAGGACCAGGCCACGGCTGCATCACATGCCACACTCAGAATCAAAACCGCTTGAAGTCAAAGCAAAATAAGGACCCACCCCTCCCGATATCCAGGGCAGCCTATGAGAGCAGAGCAGCAGCTTCTGCTTCCTCCTGGAACTCCTACCTTCCCACAGACCCTTTGCCAAGCAGCTGTAAGCAAGATGACCTCACCCCTCATGTCAGCCCAACCTGAATGTGTGTTCATAATTTTTTGTTAGTTTCACCCAAGTGTTCAGGATCCAACAAATGTTATTTTCTAAACCCACCCTTCTTCTCCTCTGTCTTTTTGAAGCACTGAGGGACTGTGGAGGAGGTGGGACGGGAGGACTCGTGGGTGGGGGTGGGAATACTTGCTGCCCTGAGCTGTTGCTGAGATATTGGTGTTCCTGCATTTCTAGCAGAAGCTGCGTTCTTTCCTGCCTAGGCTCCATACTGCCTCCCTGTCCCCAGCTGGCCAGGCCAGCCTCACAGAACCATTCTTCCCCAAGCCACACAAAGGCCTGGGAGAGGAGGAGTCTGGAGGCTGGGCAGGAACTGAACACTTGACTCAGCAGCCTCAGCCTTCTGTGCTCTTGCCAACAAAGGGCACGTACTGAGCAGAAACGGGTAGAACCCCTTTCCAGTGGCTTAACAGGAAGGAAGAGAGAATGCACTTGCCTTAAAACTTGCACTGGCGTGTGCTGTGTCCAAAGTTCTCAAAAAGAAGATCGAGATGCAAAACCAAGGCTAAAAAGATGCTGCTACTGATTACAGCACCCACATGGTGGCTCACAATTGGCTGTAACTCCAGGGACCCCGACACCTCACATGTGGTGCACATATATTCAGACAGGCTCACACATACATACACAGAAATAAAAACTTTAAAAAAAAACTAAGTGTGATGGTGCAGATTTGTGACCCCAGCCTTTGGGAGATGGAGATGGGAATCCTCAGGCTTTGGCGAGGCAGCAAGCTCCAGGATAGTAAGACCTTATCTCAAGAACAAATAAGGCAAGAACCTGAGGATTAAAGATTGAGGTGCACCCACACACGTGCGTTCATACACTAAAACCCATTGCAAAACAAGGTTCATTTAATAGAAAAGTACGTGTAGATAGCCACTTTCAAATGCAAGAAAAATCAGCATCAAACACCCTCTGCCAGCATTCCAGCTGCCCCTTGGAAAACTCCCTGAAATGACGTCAGCACCTGTGTGACCCAGGCATGGTAGCTCCGTGTAGTTCTCCACATGCTGATGCTGGGGTTAATCTGAGTTCAGGGTGAGGCACACCCCTTGGAGCACCCAGTGTGAGATGTGCTGCGTGGTAAAGAGGTCAGCTTCGAACACTAGGCCAACTCCCATGGCATTTCTCCTCATGGAGGTGGTATAGACGGGGGTCCGGAAGGTGTTCTGCAAAAGAGTGGCAGGTGACATCCTCAGGGTTGGAGGCATCAGCTCATGACTAGATGAGATTCAGCCTGAGAACTTCCCATGAACAGTCCCAGGCTTATATCTGATACCATGGGGTGGCTGGGCAAGAGTTGCCTAGTTCCCAGCCAGCCAAAGTAGAAGGCACCTGCTGTCCACATTGGATGGAGCCACTTTCTGACACAAATAGTGTGTCCAGCATCTCCTAAGAAGGGAGTTTCCTCGGGGTCTCTACCACAGGCTCTAAGCTTGGACTTGATCCCAGGGATTATGGGCACCCACATGCATGTATACCTTTGGAATGTTTTCATGCCCTAGCTTGACCTGAGAGGAGGGACGGCACCATGGGACCAGGGAGGTGACTGTCACCTGTAGCTTCAGACGGTGAGCTTCAATGGGGATGATCTTCAGGATGGGCAGGTCCACAACCAGCACCTTGGGCTTACTCTTGATAAGACACCCACTCTCTATATCCCAGTCAGCGCCCTCCAGGTAGAGCCCTGAAACAAAGCACCCTGGGGGAGACAAAAAGATGCATCTGTGTTCTATTGTATGGCAGCTCTCCTTTCACAGGTGTGCACAGAGGAAAAGTACAAATGCCACTGGGGCGGGGCGCTCAACTCTGCCCTACTTCCACATAAAAGAATAGCTGGATAGGAGATGTAGGGCTCCAAGGAAGTGGTCCAGGCAGCACTTGTCTTCCTGGACTCTGGCTTCAGGGCACCCAGCAATCCCAGCATCATCTGAACCAAAGGGGAAGTCCAAAAGAAGTGTGGTCTCTAGCACGCAGAGACCCCAAAAGTGAGAATGTCTACACTTATTGGTGGTCTAGTGATTACAATTCAGCGCTCTCACCAAAGGCAAAAATCATCCACTTGCCCCACAGAGTGGCAGCTGGATGCTCACCAGTGAGCCCTATCTGAGGGCCCCTGCGACTTACCCATTAATCCACTCTCCTTAAACAGGCACAAAGGGGCTTCTGCTCTTTGCAGTTCAGTGAACTCTGACTAGGGAAACAGTTTCCGACTAGTGCCTGCACAGAATGCTGACATCTAGCAGCTGTGTCCCATGGACAAAAGCTAGGGATGAATGTAGCTCAACACAATTGCAGACCTGCTTAAAACACTAGGAGGGGTTTGTTTTCGTGATTTTAACAGATCATTACAGTTCTCAAGTAGGAACTTTGTAGTTGACAGTGTCAGGTCACAATGTCAAAAGGTTGGGTGTGCCTGATCAAAGCTCTGGGCTAGCCTATATCCTTTTTGGCCCCTACACGTCTGCCCTTCAGGGGATGCCACTCGGTTATCTCTGAGAACTTAATCTAGGCACCCACTTGCCACAAACTAGCATGGTCAGGCCTCCCTGCCATCCACCCTGTGACTCGGTTAGTCTCCATCGGGAAACTCTGCTCTCTGAGATGCCACAACAGCACCATAGGATCCACATGGTGCTCATCCCGTTGAGCTGGGTGATGTTGAGAGGGAAGCCCCAGTTGGAGACCAGGGTATGTGACCCTCACAGTACCTTGCCCTGCTCGCTCATTCACTTCATCAGCGTCCTGGAACTTGGTCACTTGTGTGAACAAGGTGGACCGGTCCAGCGGCCAGCCATTTCTCCGGCACGTGGCCTGTACCAGTGCTGTGAGGTAGGATTCTGGGATGTGCAGCCCTGAGAGCCACATCACACTAGGCTCACTCTCGGTAACCTGGTAGGGAAGGTGGGCAGAATTAGGAACCTGGGCTGTGACACCAGCTTCAAAGCCGATTAAGAAAATGAAAGCCTGGTTTTCCATGGTGACAAATGTTGACATTAGGTCAGTTATCTGCCCACGGGGGAAAAGGTGACCACCAAACTCCTGGTGGACCAAAACTTTAGGGAAACACCAAGGTCATTAAAGTGCTTGCTACACAAATGTCCCCATTTTTTACTCAGAACCCACATTAAAGACATCATGTATGGTGGCACATGCTTGCAATCCTGTGCTGAGGCAGTAGAGAAAGATCTTTGAGGTTTCCCGATCAGCCAGCCTAGCCAAATCAGTGAATCCCAGGTCCTAAAGAGAAACCCTGTCTAAACAGTCATGGCCCATTAGGAATGACACTCAAGGTTCATGTCTGGCCTCTCTCCACATGTGCACATACCTGAATATGTACATATGGACACAAACCTACAAAAGGACCACACCTAACCTCTCACTGTTTTCTCAAGTGGAGAATTACAAAGCCCAGATGCCACAAAAAGAAAAAAAAGTTTTGACTGCATTTATATGGAAAACCTTCCTATAGAAACACACACACCATCATCATCCAAGTAAAAGGCTCCCAGCAGGGAGGAGTCCATGCATCACCAGCAGACCAAGAGTTACTGTCTCTCATATACAAAGAACTCTTAGAAACCAATAAAAAGGGCTAAGAAGACAGTTCAGTGGAAAGCACTTGCCACACAGTCCTGAAGACCTGGGTTTGGATCTCCAGGAAGTACATTAAGCTGGGGTGGTGCCACCCTTCTAATCCTAGTGCCCCCATAGTGAGATGGGAGACAGGCAAGAGGATGGCCAGAGGCTCACAGGCCAGCTAGCTTGTACTGCCTAGCAGTGGACAAGGGACCCTGTCTCAAGATGGAAAGCAAGGACTAAATCCCAAAAATTGTCCTCTGACTTCCACATATGAACCCAAATGCATGCATTCACACACACAGATATAAACATACTTCATACATATATTTTTAAAAAGTCAATGTAAAAAGATGGAGTCTTCCCTTGAAACAGACATGATGGTTCACAGAAAATATAAATATCTTTAAGTATATGAAACACCCTCCATTTCACCTTCATTAAAGAAACAGGGCAGGGCTGGAGAGATGGCTCAGTGGTTAGGATCACTGAGTGCTCTTCCAGAGAATCAAGGTTCAATTTCTAGCACCCACATGGGAGCTCATAACTGTAAATCCAAGATCTGACACTCTCACACAGACATACATGCAGGGAAAATGCCAATGCACATAAAAACAAATTATTTTTAAAAAGAATAGAAGCCTGGCGGTGGTGGCGCATGCCTTTAATCCCAGCACTCGGGAGGCAGAGACAGGCGGATCTTTGTGAGTTCCGAGACCAGCCTGGTCTACAAGAGCTAGTTCCAGGACAGACTCCAAAGCTACAGAGAAACCCTGTCTAAAATAAATAAAAAAGTAAATAGAAAAAAGAAAAGAAGCAGGCCAAAAACAATTAAATGCTCCATAACTGAACAAAAGCCCCAGACTCAAAGACCGCACAGATTTGCAGAAAAAAACAAATGTCACTCCCCAAGTATTATGACTTCAACTTTGTAGAAAACTCACAGATAAGACTTCAGCTCAAACCTATAATCCCAACGCTTGGGAGACTTAGGTAGGAGGACTGCACCAATTCATGCCAGCATGGCTGCAGAACTACAGGTAATCTCACAACAACAAATGAAGTGCACATGTGCTCTAGGGTGTGTGGTACACACACTGCACTCAAGGACACTGACTACAGTGCTCTTTGTGACACAAATGTATACAGTCACCACCTAATGTCCACCACTAGGAGAAAGGATAAAGACCCTAAAAAGAATGAACTAGAACAGATGCCAAGACATTTAGAAGAAATTATCTCATGCGTACATAAGTCAGACTCGCAAAGGCATGACAACTGAGGACATCCCTGGGACACCTGATATACATTCACAGGGGAAAGCAGGAGTGGGTGTGTGTGGCCCAGCACTCACCCACAGTGTGTACTGGCTGTACCGCCGCAGGAAGTAGAGCATCCAGTTTCCAAGGGTCTTCAGGGTGTCCGGGGCAAGCTTCCTCCAGATGTGAGGGATGTGCCCGAG